ATATGTATATATATATGTATATATGTGTGTATATATGTGTATATATATATATGTATATATATATATATATATATATATATATATTTATATATATATGCCAACAACATAAGAATTTTACTATCTAAACCTCTAGTAATTGGCCAGAAAAATTTTCTTATTATTTCAATTTGAAAGCTAATAACTACAAACGTAAGCGATTTAGATTTTAATTTTATTGTTCTTGGTTTATTATCTTAGCGCAGACAGTGAAAGTTTATATTTTCTTTCATTATGCTTCATGTCCTCAGATTCTACTATATTTAGGTGACTAAAGATAAACGTGACCTACTTTTCTTTTCCAAAGTCTATCATGTTGTCCTCAGGCATATTTATAAATTAGTATTGTGTTCATTTTATTCCATTATCTGTCTAATTCAATTCATCACCCAATGTTTTCCTCATACAATTCCCATAAATCTTAAATGCTTATTTTTCTATGAAAAATTGAAACTTGTTTTTCTATTTATAATGTTTACGCTGTAGGGTATAAACTAATTGGGTCGCATTCAGGAGTGAAACTATGTAGGTGGACAAAGGTAATATGCAATTTACAAATTAAACACAAAGGGAAGTTCCCAACAATGTGTACTAACAATAATCATTTTATCTAAGCATCAACACTAATGAGCTATTATTCTAATTATAACAAAGAAATTCTGACATCAAGTAGATTTAGCTAATTAATGAATATTTAAGTCTATAAACCTCTTCCTAGAATTACACAGAATGCCATTGGGAAAAGCATCTACATGTTTCAAACATCATAAAGTGAAAAGGACTAGAAGAGGAAAATTGATGTTTATCTGATATGTGGTTTGATTTCTAAATGTCAAATCTATAGAGAAACATTATAAAAGTGTCATTAAAAGTAGCTCATCCATCTGAATTATGTTGCATCAATTGCATCTACATGTTTCCATTATGTGAAAATTTAAACTGTAATCATGTCCTCCATTGTTTATTGAGGATCACCGTTTATTCTTAATTTTTTTTAAATTACAAAAACATCGCAGTACAAAACTGATTTGTGTCATTTATATGAAAATTATTGTTCTTGTGATTTTTTTTTCATTGAATGATAACTGCTTCTGGCCAGAATTTGGCTGTTAGTTATCTTCTCCTTTCTAGGATAAAAATGATATTGTGTTTTTTATGATTAAATGATGTCTAATTTTTAAAAAAATTTATTGATATTTCTGATATTAAATCATGTTGTAGTGGGACTTGGTATAGAGCATTATATCAAAGTCTCAATGCACTACTGCATATTTCCACCCTATGCCTGAACGATACACAGGCCATGTATGATGGGCGACTCCATTATTTTTCAACCTGTGCCTGAATACTGAACAATAATGCCGTTTATGATGGGTGATCCATTATTTTCTTTTTTTAGTATTTTTTTTTTATTATTAAACTAATCCATTCCTTAATGTTTGTGTAATTTTGCTGACAACACATTGTTTACAAACTATTCACAAAAATCTCATGAAAACTACTATGCTTGTATTGTATTGTTTTATTTAACAGAGCATGTTGCGTGGTCGAGGGGGCTGCTATAAGCACACGTTCTACGGGATTGAGAGTCACCGGTGCATGGAAACCACTCCGAGTCTAGCATGTGCCAATAAATGTGTGTTCTGTTGGAGGTAAGCCTAGATTATGCAGGATCACAGGAATTTGAAAGAAAGAAAACCTCAAAACACGGTTCTTCTTTTAAATAATGGCTTATAAAATCATTTTTGCCTTCTATTAAGAGGAGCCCTACCTTAAAGGCACATCAGTGTGCAATCGACTGAAAAATAGGCCAATCGTCCACTGATCCTTATGCATTACCATTCAATGTCAGTTTAATAATTTATAATTATTGTGCTGTTACTTATATTGGTTGATGTTGTTATTGATGTTATAACCTTGATTTTTAAATTATACATTAATTTAGTGAACTTTAGAAAGTATTCACCTTCACCAGTATCATCTACAACTCATCAGAGTGTATGACATTTAAAAAAAAAAAACACATAACAAAATAATTAAAGATCTTGTTTAAGCTAAGTAGAAAAATAGATTTACATTTGAGGCATAGTTTATGTTCTAATTATATGCGGATTATTTGAGAAATATGTTTTTGACTCATTATGGCCTAAAACCTTGAGGCAAAGTGTTTTAATAACTCACAGTGTCCTTGCTTTAATATTAATCTATGCATAACACATGTTCTCATTCCCATTAAAGCTGCTTTCATGTAAATTAAAATTAGTCTGAAGTTATGTGAATGTTTTTAATAAGCATCATGGGAAAATGAGATTAATTTTACAGCATCCATTTTGTTAGTGGGATTGTGTTGCACTTAATACCAAACTCTAAAATCCTCGTCAATGGATTCAGAATGAAACATTCACAGTTTGAAGCCTCTTCCTGCACTCTTGTGGGACTTCCTCTAGTTAAGTAACTAATTTAATATCAAATCATTAACATCCTGTAATGTACACAGAATATATTGTACTCCTGAAGACAATATATAATTGTTATTATATATTGTTATATATTATTAATAAAACAATTTAATGTAAAATTACGTAAACAATTTAATGTAAAATTATGTGAAATTGTTAACATATAATGTACACAGTGCCCGTGTTCTTACGTAAACTCAAATACATGTGTAATCTAATAATAGCCTCGGGGCTAATTCCGATGGCTGGTCGGACGAGTACAATAAGAACCAGTAAAACCAGTAACTTCTCGTATGTCTTTCCTTCAACCAAGGTCAGACTGTTTAAAACTATACATAATCTAGCCTTTGTAACTTCATTTGGAGCTTCAAGTGATTTCTTTACTGTGATAACAAAACTTTATTACACTCGGCACATGTCGGCCGCTAGACGACGCCATGTTGTTGTTGACTGTAAAACAACACGAAAGTTGTTGTAACAAAACTAATTTAAAAGTAGCTATAAAATTATTTTTCTGTTATTGAAATACAAGTTATATCTAATTATAATTTTTAAGTTTGTTTTTAAAGCAGTAATAATCACTTAACAAATAATAAACTATGAATTAGAAATACAACATTTGAACGAATACAGTGACGCATGTAAAAACGTCGCTCGCTCGCTAGCCTAATACCGTAAAGAACTTTTGTTTGTTGTAAGTTTAAACGTCATCTTCTCGTGTTTTGCTAAAGTTCTTACTGTCAAACCTTTTCAATGCTTTTAAATATTATTTAAGTTATTTCCATAAGGAGTTAAAGTATTATGAGAAAATGGGAACGGGACTGAACGATAGGAATTTTTTAATAGCTCTATGGCCTATACAAATCTAAAGGTCAACTTGTGACATGGGCCTTGTTAATGTGATAAATTACGCCCAGAGGCAGCGTGTAATTAAATTATCCACTAAAATAGGTGGGTTTTTGGGGCAGATGTTTTTCAAATTTTTTATGGCTAGAGGCAAAATTTAATTGCCACATGTGGCCTCTCAGTTGGAAGTACCCGGTAAAACTTTACTCGTCCGAGCGGGCCCAGTTTATACTCCTGAAGACAAACATAGATTAAGTGCCCCGTGCAAAGACACGAAATGTTACCCTATATGATTTGAACTCATAAGCATTTAGTTAGAAGCCCGGAGCAGTGCTGTATCTAGGAGGTGCACAGGTAGTATGCCCCCAAACAAATTTCACCCCCATTAGTCACCCCTTTCCCACTGAAAATGTTCCAAGCTAAAAACGATTCAAGATTCAAGAAATTGTCATTGTCATGTCTTTTATATATTTTTTGTTAAATTCATCTACCAAGCAATAAAACTTTCTGTATTTTTATATGGACAAATAAAAATCATGCTCAAGAAGTTAAAAATCACCTCATATTACCTTATTTTGTGAGCTAGTGCCTTCGCAATTGATCTGCGAGCCCTTTCGCTTCATCTTCACACTCTCCCCCCCCCCATTTAAAGACTCCTAGATACGCTACTGCCCCAGAGGCTTACCAATGTGCCGCATGTTTCTATAGTGATTGGTCCATGTTTCATACCATACATTCTAATGCTAACCACTGCATCACAACCTATCAGCAATGAGAGAGCAGATCTAAGATTTAGCAATGGGGTGGATGTTTATCTTGAGCACCCAAACTATGTACACAAACATATTTCATTACTCAAACAAACAAAAAATGAATAGGCATACTGCTCAATTTTCAGTAATGCGTCAGTGAATTAAAGCCCCATTCCCGGCAAAATTTCAATTTTAAAAAAAAATCTAATTTTTGTATAATGTTATAAAGATTTATAAATATAATCCGGAATCGCTAGTTTAACTGAATTTAGAAATGGTAATATTTTATGAGAAATAGTCTGTATTTCTCATTTTTTTATTCTTTTGCGTAAAACTAAAATTCATGCCAATATTTTTCCATGATTTATAATAATTGGAGTAATGCAAATGCATATTTTCTAAAAAAAGTCATTTTTAGTGAAATTTTGCCGGGAATGGGGCTTTAAGTATTTACCTTCTTGTACTTCCCTGACTGCGTGCGTGTTTGAAGCTGACTGACACCTACAATTTCAGTCACTGCATGACCGTCATTATATTTTTAATAAAAAAATTCTTGTAGTTTAAAATACCTTTTTCCCTGAATTAGTGATAATTCGTTAACACGCATAGACTTGTGCTAAATGCATGACAAATTTACGATCACACATGTGTTAGTGCAAAATGCGTGTTTCATCCAAATTAACTTTGATATGCGGGGCGGTTGGTAACTATGGATGTTTGTGTTCAGAGATAGAGTACCGGTTGTACAGCACCAATGCATTAACACCTGGGTCATTTATGCAGTTCATTTCAACAATTTCCAGGCATCTTCCTGACTTATGAAAGTATTACATTACGAAAAGTGAGGGAACCAACCCCCTACCCTTAAAAAATATTTGGGGACGTATCCCCAGTCCCCTTGATCATGGATTTTTGGAGGGGCGTTCCCTTCCATTTGAGATTGTTTGGAATTAGTCGATGACTAGACGTTCTTGGATGACATCTACAAAGTTAAGCTTAAAATAGAAAGTATATGTTTTACAAGAGTATACATGTATACATAAGAAGCACACACATAAGACAAGTGATCACTATTTTTTTCACAATCACCGAAGGGGGTGTGGCTAGCCAAACTATTCGCCTCCTCTAGATCCGCCACTGAGCAAAGGATATGTTTCTTTTAAACTGGCATAGATGGATTAACACAGCTCAAAATAAATTATAATGTGAGTTAGTGAAACGTATACTTCAATTTTTCCTAATCTGTAATCTTTGTTGATAGGCATCATACAAATCCCGTAGGAACGGAGTGGAAATGGAAGATGGATGATGCTCAAACTGTAATAGAGGGTGCTCTTCAAAATCACTATAAAATGATCAATGAATTCAAAGGTACTATAAATATGCACTAGAATTTTGTGCTCAAGAAAAAAGCAGTCTGGTTATATTTGCTAGGCAACATTTGTTTGGTTCAACCTGTTGTATGACTTGGGTAATTTGACCAGGGAAAATGTTATGCAGGATGTTAGCAGTAGATATTTTTTTGGTCAAACTAACCAGGAACATGATTAGTTGCAAAAAATCCAATATCAACAAGGTTATAGTTTATAGAGCATCACAGATCTGTCCTATAACTATGAAAGGAAAATATGTGAGCGGCTCTAACAAAACCCTGCTACTTGTCACAATTTCTAATTTCGCACAAAAATGTTCAGAAATCAGAACATTTTCCGGTTTTTGCATTTTATAAAAGAAAGATATATTTAAGAATATTTCTGCAAAATATCAGTTACTGAATCTAACTAAAAAGTATATTAAAATTATTTTTGAAAACAAATTTTAATAATATACTATTGATTTTGGATTCTTTGAACTGTTTTCTCAAAATCTACTTGGCTGATATCCAATGAATTAAATATATATATATAACTTTGCTAATACCAACCAATTTCCATCATATAAACACTGTTTTAAATAATTTGTGCATTATCTAAAATACAAAGAACTCAATTTTGAATTTTTCGACAACAAAACAGCTGGTTTTGACAGAGACGGTCATAAATAGAAAACGTGCGAACCTGAGTGATTGTGTTTGTGTCCCTAGGTGTTCCAGGTGTGATTCCTGAGCGCTTAGCCGAGGGAATGAAAGCTAAGCATTGTGCATTATCCTTAGTTGGAGAACCAATCATGTACCCAGAAATAAACAAGTTCATCAAACTACTTCACAGTAGAGAAATATCCACCTTCCTTGTCACAAATGCCCAATTCCCTGATGCTATAAGGTAAGACTCTTTAAAACACAGGCCTACATTAAGCTCTGTCTACACTATCAAATTTTGTGTGACAAAAAAGTGTGATATGCCCATATATGGGCATGATGACATCACAGCATGACCATATATAGGCATAGCATTACTATATATGGGCTTGTCACATTTTTTTGTCAAAGAAAATTTGATAGTGTGGATAGAGCTTTAGCAACACATAATAATGAGTAAAACATTTTTGTGAATAATGTATAGTAATTTAATGACATAACAAAACACATTGTACAGACAATTTATTTACAACCACATCGATATAAATGGGTATGTAAGTGTACATGAAAACAAATCTACTGACTACAAAACTACTGATATACAATATTCCAATGTAATCACAATAGTTAATTCATTGTAGTAGGTTTACATTTTAGATATTTACATAATCCGTCTTCTGTACTTTTATGATCATTTGGTAGCATACATGTGTGTTGGTGCTTATACCTGAATTATGGTAAAAATGAATTCTTATGAAACGTTGCAGGACCCTGGAACCTGTCACTCAGCTGTACGTCAGTGTAGATGCCAGTACCAAAGACAGTTTAAAGAAGATAGACAGACCCTTATTTAGAGATTTCTGGCCTAGGTTTCTTGACAGCTTAGCGGCTTTATCAGAAAAGGTATAGTATTTTATTAACTCGCATTTCTTTGAAGTACTGTACTGTATTTATGAACATATGCCTTTATTTGTATATGGAGAGTGTTATTGCAGATAAAGAGGAGAATGTTTCCTTGTACACTGAAACTAATCTGCAGGATTAAAGTATGTTGAAATGGCAGTTTACAAGCAGTGTTGGCCCTGTTGTCTCCAACGGGATCCCCCCAGAACCCTGTCCAGAAGCTTTTAGGGGCCATCCATATTTTTCAAAATTTTCAAAGAGTACAAAACATACGCTTTTATGAAAAAGATAAAACTATGATCTCAAAATGACACAAATCAACAATTATATTGTCCACTCTTTGAGGGGGAGGGAGGGGGTAACAGAAAGAGTATGTTTGTACTCTTACGAAAATTATGGACGACCCCTAATAATTTAGGGATTTGAAAGACTTACTTAATCAATTATATAATCTCCATTGTTTGCCTGAAAGATACAATAATAAGTAACTAACATTTGTCTTTTTGTAGGGTCAGCGTACCGTGTATCGTCTAACCATTGTGAAAGCTTGGAATAGTGATGAAGTTGAAGCATATGCAAAATTAGTTGACATAGGGAAACCAGATTTCATTGAAGTGAAGGTAACAATTTATAATAATAATAATATTTGCTGCGAAGCAGCCAATTCATATTCTTGACGGCAATTTGACCTCTGAAAGGTCATTGTTTATCAAAAATCAATCGCCTGAGACAACTGAAAAGCGGAGTTCCTTCTTACGTTCTGCCGGGTAAAATCAATTACTTTAGGCGACGTTTGTAGACTAACCCACTCGTACCAACGTCGGCATATCGCGACGCTGGAGTACTATTCAGAGTTGTTACTATATTTCTAGGTTTCCTATTTCTACGTTTAATCGGCTCATGTCTCAGCCACAATATTTTGAGGACACTATTATTTACGAACCCAGTTAAACTTATTTACTAGCCTATTTCAACGTGCTAATTATTACATTTAGACGAACTTGTTGTAGACTGGCATAGTGATTGCGGAAATAAATACCATTTTATACACATGCGCAGATCGAATCGCCAGCAGCGAGTCATCGCCAGCAACAGCGAACCATCGCCAGCAGAGAGATGTCACTGCAGCAAAACACTATTGTACCAACGCTGTTCTAATAATATATAGACAATGGGTCGTGCTCATATTATTTGTTATATTTTTATTATTCATTATTTTCACTTGACTCGCATAAATAATTTTGTTCGAAGAACATTTTATGCAGTTGTACTTCGCAGCACTTCACTTGCAATTTGCAATTTCTAGTCTTAAAAAATATATCATATGTCATGTATGTGATATAGATTGAAACAAATTAGTTTGCTGATTTTAACTTTACTGATATACTGTATCAGCCAATTTAAGGCTAGTGTATATGTAAAGAATATCAACCAATCAATCAGTCAGTTTATTCAAAAAACCTTTTTGGCATTCATGCTTATGCACCTTTCACAAATTCACGATTTTCGCTACAATTGAGCACGATTTTTTAATTTTCGAAAATTGAAATGGTGTCGTACTAAATTCCCTGCTCAATTATAATTTACTGTCTTTAAATGTTATAAAAATGTTTTTTTTTTATTGTATTCTAGGGAGTTACATATTGCGGAAGTTCCAAAGCAAGTTCATTAACTATGGAGAATGTTCCGTGGCATGAAGAAGTCGTAGGATTTGTAGAAAATTTAGCAAGTAGTCTGAATGACTATGAAATAGCTTGTGAGCATGCTCATTCCAATTGTGTCCTCCTAGCTCACAAAAAGGCAGGTTTCTTTTAAGGGTCATCCATTTGTATCAACTAAATCCCTGTCCAGACTATCAAATCGCTTTGACAAAAAAACTTGTACGCCCATATATAGTCATGATGTGCCTATATATGGTCATGATGTCATCATCATCATGACCAAATTAAGGATTGTCACATGTTTTTGTCAAATAAAATTTGATATTAGTGGCCTGGACAGGGCTTTATGCTGGGATATTTAAGGGGTTAGGTGTGTGTGCGTGTGTGTGAAATGCTCTTATAAAAGAAAATCCAAAAATTTTATCTCAGAGGAAGAGAGAATCCAAAAGAAAGAGTATTTTGCTGAAAAATGATGAATGATTCCAATCTCTTCTTTCTCGTTTTCTTCTCTAACAGTTCAAAGTAGATGGGCATTGGCACACATGGATAGATTATGATAGATTCCACAAGTTGATCCAGGATTTCAACCAAAGTGAAGGGAAATTAACATTCCGTGCGGAAAACTACATGGCAGTGACTCCACCGTGGGCAGTGTATGGCAGCAGTGAACAGGGATTTGACCCACAAGAAACCAGATTTTATGCAAAAGGAAAGAAGAAGCGTGATTTGTCTGGGTGCTAATTAACTTATATCAGCAGACATAAAATACATTAAAAATTTGTGATTTTGTATTGTTTCTTATTAATTTATTCCATTGTTTTTTTGTTGAAATAAAAAGAGTGAGTAAACAATGGAGGTTCACATCAATGGCTTAAAGAAAAATATTAATTCTAACATGTTTTTGATAATTTTAAAAACTGTGGTCTCCTTAGTGGTGTAAAGCCTATGCCTTTGGGCTATTCTGGAGGGCCCTTCTTACTAACACCCAGTATTCTACTGCAGAGCCTTAACATAGACACTAGCAAGCTGCAACGTTATTCCTGGTTTTTAACTCGTAAATGTTGTATGTAAACTCCCATGACAACACTTCTCTTATATAATATCATACCATATAAATATTCAAGCATTATTATTATTATTACCATGTACAGTAGTCAACTACTTTACTGAAATACATGGACCCATCTCCTACACCAAATGAGTCTTGTTGCCTCAGTATGATATGATCATTTAGTACATAATAAAACATTCATTTTTTGCAGTTTTAAAAGGTGTTAATACCATATCTAGTGGAGCACTTATTAGTATATAAATAGTAGAAATATTGTGAAAAAATTGTAGATATCCACTGTGGATAAAACCTCATGTATATTAAATATGTGTAATTTATGTTGGTGTGATTTGCAACTACAGTACTCTCATTTAGACATAAAACTACATTTTAACCTAATAAACCAACTTGTTTCAGAGCACATTCAATTATTTTTTGTCATTATGATATATATATATATGGTTGATTTTGAACTACTAGAAAACACAACTTTGCAAAAGTTCATGATGCAACCGTTTTAGGCTCTATAATTACTGTATCTTAATTGACTTGAATTTTGTGGAAGTTCACATTTAGCTATAAGCATATTGTTTTACTTTTTTTCTTGCCTTTAAGTTTTAATTTTAATTAATGTACAATCAATCACTCCACTCAATTATAATAAATTAAAGAGGCAAACATTCATTGAAACTGTAATAATTGAAATTAACAACCAAAAGAGTTTCATTTTGTTTACAAGATCTGTAATATTGTAAATTAATAAAACCAGTGTTTTAATTATATGAATCATGTTGACAAATGCTTGTACTGAAGTATTATTTTTGCAGAATTGTTCATCTTGAAGCATATGCACTGTGGCTGTGTCATATCTTGGAATGATGCCATGGCTCACATGGGGAGGGGGTGTGAGGGAACAATATCTTCCCTACAATGTTTGTATAAACCATTAAATCAGCTGGTGAGGATTTTTGTAGTAGGCCTACAGAGAAAAATTTCTAAAGTCAAAATGATTTGATCTAAAGCCGGGCATACACCAAATTTATCTGCAGTTTCCATGAGCGCTTGACGTCCGCGACGTCCTCCGCTGATGGTTGGTGGTAGTCTGAGAGGATTGGGTGTAAGAAAAATATGCACTAAAACAGCATAAAATGTGTCAATTTCCCTTTATTGAAAGTGCCAACCTATGTTACCGCAGAATTAAGATTGCTGTGGGCAATACAAAGGCAACACCAGTCTACTTCACCCACCTGCACTGATAAGTACCTCATTCATATTAAATCTTTGCAGTATATTGTACAGTATATACATTTACTTTTAACTTTATCATACAGAAACGATTATCACACAAAAGTTAAAGTTTACTAAAACATATACTGTATTTTCAGTGCAACATTTACGTAATTTCAGAAAGTATCAACTTATAGAAAGCCCACATTTCCTCCTTCCAACATGCTACAAATATAATAATTTTCAGTAATACCTTGTATATCAACATAGTTCTCAACTTGATGCATGTTTTATCTGTGTATTTACATGACCCTCCATACTCATTTAAGACTTAGTGAGTAGAATTGCTTCACATTATGCATCATATAAACAATGCGAGGCTTAGGGAGTTGAATTGTTTCACATGGTATAAACAACAAGATGTGTTATAAACCAAGTCTCATTATCAGGCTTAAAAGTGTGCAATTGTTTTTCTCTAAAAATAGTTTTTCCATTTTAAAGGATTTGAAACCATGACACATTGAAATCACCAGGCTACAACTCTACTACCAGTGTTATATCTAGGGCTCTTTCTAGAAGTTATTTGCAGACACTGATGTGGCCTTTTTCAATATCTTAGATATGCCACTGTGTACTACTATGCATACATTATTGCATGCAATCATTCCAGCCAACTTCTGTCTCTGACAGTAACACTGCGTTTTCCCAGCAGTGCCATAGCAACAGGATCTGAAACTGACATGACTGCAGGCTAACATGTCATCGAGTGCCATAATGGAAAATGTCTTAAAAACAACCAAAATAGAAACAAACACTGAATACATTCTCCGTCAGCTACTGTCAATATCCTCCTCATCCTCGCCCATAAAATCTTCTGTGTCTTCCTTGAGTGTACAGCTTAGTATCGACTCTTTCACCGCCTTCCTCTCCTCATCACTTTGACACTTGAGAAGAACCCCTGAGAGTTGTTGTCGCTGGTACTTAAGGAGGAATTTCTGGCAAGTCCGAATTGTTCCTAATGGAAAGGTAGAAAGTATATGATGATAAAATTGAAACTAGATACTGCCTGTTTTTCAAACACAGGTGATTAAAATGATATTTACCTCCACAATGTAATGTATTAATTTTACATATCTTCTTGCACAGTTTATTTACAAATGGCAAGGAGGTCCACACAATCTTGTAAGATGACCTTCTGGATCGAACTATGAATATCTGCGTGTGTGGATTCAAGTATTTCACTAAAAAAACAACAGTAAACAAAGTTTATGGTAATTTATGTTGCATGCTGAGAGAATGAAAGAATCGATAATACTCTAATAACAATGGTTTCGTAGATATGCAGTCCTATCTTAAAAAGTACTACCTGTACCATGTACAGTTATTCATACGAGCACTGCTTGTCAAGAACGAATCTCAAACACTATTTGAATCTGATTCGATCTTGTGGTAGTTTCATTGCATGCAAAATCATGACAGACAGATATCTTGCAATTCTATACAGTACTCTTTTTTTGTAATACAAAAATTGGAAATGAAATATGAACATGTAATTTACAATAGCCATAAAAAATTCAATATAAAGTTTACTTTTTGATATAAAAAAATACCGTATAATAAAATTGGGAATAGAGTAATAACAAAAAAAATAGTCATACGAATGAATGGATTACCTGACAAATTTGTTAATAAAAAGGCAAATAGCTGATGGAATAAGAGTTTTGGAACCTATTTGTTTTGACTAATAAAAATTTAAAAAATAGCTCACCATTCAATCCAAGTTGCACAGCACCCATGCCATAGTCCCCATGAGTATGCACAACAGCGTTTTTGATCTCGCTAAGAATATCGTTTGACACAACTGCTGGGTAATTTGCATATCTTTCATCAAAGATGATTTCACAAAGGAGATACCTATGAAAAAAGACTAAATAATAAATACAGTTTGCCTTATACTTTGGGGTGGTCTCGGGTTTCGGTTTCCATTTAGAGGGTTAGCTATATGATAAAGGATTGAAGATTGTTATTTTGTTCTTTGAAAAAGTGGTCTCAAATTTAGAGGCCTTGTCGAAATTAGATGGGTCTAATTAGAGGGTGCACTGTACATTCTACAATGAAGAGTGAATCATTCATACATAGAGAAAAAAAAAGAGTGAATCTTATGCCACCCTGACACATGCACGATTTTCGTTCCCGCACTGGCACGCACTTCGGCGTGCGAATTTCTTCGGGAACGAGCGTGAGGAGTACGTGAAGGGTGCGCGCCATGTCGTATAGAGAATTTTAAAATGTTCAAAAATTTGGCACGTATAAATGTTTGTGCCATGTGTGAATACTGCGCGAACATGGCAAGAACACTGCCATCATTAAGAATGCTCTTCCTCTTTCTGCCTTTTCTCCTGTTCTTCAAGAAGTAATAGTCCGCAGTTGCCAGACATAGACACCTTCTCTGTCCTGCAATAACTGTCTCTAGGATTCAGCATGTTGTATTGTCCATAGCGAGTCAAAGAAAAACCTACGCTATGTATAGCGTGCCACCTAGTGGGACAAAGCCAAGCGGGACGACTTTACGCATGCGCGAAGTCGTTGGGGCAATGCGGGAAGACAGTGGGAATTATGCATTTTGTATGTGACACTGCGAGACAATGGGGTATGGTAGACGGGAGCAATGCGCGAACAATACTTAACTTATGTGTAAGCAAGTAGTGCCATTGCGTGTCAATACGGTACATTTTTGACGCGCATTGCATACACGGTGCGTAACTTATGTCTTACAGTGCACGAACAGGCCGCAATCACAGGTTCAAGTTCTGCAGCGTACCACCGAAATGGCACGTCTTGCCACGACGCATTGCGCGGCAATTCGGAGACAAAAATTGTGCAAATGTCAGGGTGGCTTTATTCTTCACAATACCTTAAGTTACTTTGATACAGATAAATGGAGGAAGTGAAGTTGACGTTGGTTTATTTACATTTATTCATTTCAGCAATGCAGCAGGGTTCCCAAGTCTCCCGCATATCCCAGGAGCATCCCAGAAATCAGGAAAGCCTCCCGAAATTTACCAGAGACTCTCGGGGGTGCAATCTCTTGTATTTCCATTAATATTAACTTTATTTCTTTCTTTTTCCATTTGACTTCTATCTTGTATTTCAACACCTTCTATATTTAAAGATTTGGAGTTAACCTTGGTCATACTCTTGCCAAGATATACTGTATCCTAGTGCATTGGATTGGATATAAGTGAACACCAAGAAATACACAGCCATTACCATATAAATATTTTTATTTTTATTTCAACAATCTTTAATGAGGGTGGTCCATCCAGCTGAAGCTGATCATTAAGGACCCTCAATACACATAGTAAAACAAAACAAAAGAGAGTATGAAACCAATTAATTTACAGTAAAATAAATAACCTCTCAATTCAAAATTTACATAAAGAATTAATTCAAAATTAAATAAAAAATTTAATATAAAAATTAAAATTAAATTACAATTAAAGATGTAAATGAAAGAGCAATATTAAAAAACAATAGGCAAAAGGGACATTAAAACAACAAAGGGAATAAAGTAGTCTAAATAAAATAATCAAATAAATTAAAAATAGATAATAGGCCAATGTATATGAGAACTATAAATCAAATCACTCTTAATTTAAAGAAAATAAATCAATTTAAATTAATAAATAAAACAGAAAATAAATAAAGGTAGAAATCAAAAAATGAATTCTCAGTGCAAATTTTAAAAAAATAAATTTAAAAAAAAAAGCCAAAGAAACAGAATTACAGGAGAGAAAGAAGGAGGTAACTTTTGAGGGACGATTTAAAGGATGAGTAAGTAGAAGCATTGCGGATATCTAAGGGAAGAGAGTTAAAGAAAGTGGGGGCATTAAAGCTAAATGAAAGTTTGTAAAGTTCAAAGTGTGGTCTGGGGATATGTAAGTCCCCTTTAGTGATCTGCCGAGTGTTCATGCGGCCATTTGCAGTTATTTTTGTGAGACACTGACAAATTGTTTGGGGAGCAAGATTGTGTAGAGCTTTAAAAGTTAAACAAAATATAATTTAATACAGTACCCGTTTTTTTTTTTTTTTGTTTTATAATGAGTTGAAAAAACACGATTAAACACTATAGATCACTTCCTTCTGAAATACTTATCAGGAAAGCATAGGTGACAAGTCGAAGTTCGGTGCGGTACAAAATTAATACAAAAGTATGTAGGCCCCTATGTATGTAGGGCCTAACCTAGGCCCCCAACAAGAATAGTATTCTGCATTAAAGCCAAATGAGGGTTTATTTAAAATGAATACTTAGATATGTAGATAGTGATATATACCTGTTTCTTAAACGAACCATTTTAATTACTTATTCACTCCAGATATTTTAACAAATCACCTTTAGTATTACTAAAAGCAGCCAAAAACTAAAAAACCAGAAAAACAGCATGAAACAGCGTGTCTTCTTTCCGCCCTCTATCCATACGGTAGTTTGTTTGAATATGTTTACTCGCGAAAGCTCGATCGCGCGCGTCCGCGTCTTTGCTTTGTTTGCTGCAGTCTCATCTACCACCCTGGAATCTAGAAGAAAGCGATCTAGTTTATGTCGAGCAGTTACACGGCGCATGTGCTTGGCTATTCTATTTTCTGCTGCCGAAGTTTAACTCAGGTTAACCTTAGGCCTGCCCAAATTACCCTTAGGCCTATATTACCATAACAAAATAAATATTTAAAATAATAGTACTTAGTTTATTATATATTTAATATCATCCCACGACACTGATTGGTACTTGTGGGAAGTAGCTCTAGGCCTAGCCACTTTCAACCCAGCTTTCAACAAATAGAATCACCAAACTAACAGCGTAACCTGTAATCGTCTTGTGCTGGATATCACGCCTGGGTACATCAACTCACGCGTACATTCATGAACATTCTCAGCAAGAAGTAATCATTTTGTTGAATGAAAAATTCCCGACATTTACATTTTTTTCCCAACATTTTCAGTTAAGGTAATCATTTTGTGAACGAAACTACTTTTGACTTTAGTGATGTAGGCCTATGTGCCTCAGGGTCCGTATCGCCAAGCAAGTGTTACAGTCGGCAGGTTTCTAACCGAGGGCCAAACATCCTACCTGGTCTGGTGCGTCCATAGGCCAGCAGCTAGCCTGCCCTTGCCAGGTCTACATTCATTAGGCCTCAAGCAAGGGCCTAGCCCTAGGCATTATGGTTTTTTTTTTTTTAGCTTTGTATAAAAAAAATAGTATATATATATATTTAATATTATCACCATTTTTAGGCTAATGCTGGGCAAATAAATAGGAAATACAATAATTTACAGACAAATTTATCAATAATATAATTTTAATAATAATACTATAGGCCTAGCCTATGCCACCACCATGCCATGGAGGTATAAAATACATACAGTAGCTAGGGGCTAGGGTAAGCATGTGCCTAGCCTACCTATAGTGTAGGCCTAATATTACAGTATTTTTTTCTTTGTTGTTGTACCCACCTAGTTCTACTAGGTTCTAGGCCCTGGTCCAGGCCTGCGCGGAGCATAATTCCTAGCACAAACAATTTGGCCTACGCCTAGGAATTCGTCCACATATTTCGGGAAATAGGTGCCCATTTCTGTGCAGATTTTATCGAAAAATAAGGCTATGACCAAATATATTCGAATGTAATTTTACAGCAATTACGATTACGCACACTTATTTTCCTAGCAGTTTTCCGCGCAAATTTTAGCTGATTTTTTAGGTATCTTCCACGCAATTAGAAAAACTTTATACAGTATAGGTTCTAGTACCTTTTGCATGAAAATCTAACCTTGGCACCTACTGATACTATTAGTGCATGCATTTTTCAGTGAAAAGATACATGTTTTAACTACTAAAAAACTGGAATTGAACCCTCTCTTCCTTTGACAGATTCTACAATGGGTTACTCAAGGTCACGTAGTAGGAGCAGGTCAACATCACGGAAGCGCTCTCGATCTGATTCAAAATCAGAAAAAAGGAGGAAAGTCAAGGTGCATAGCTCCAGGGACCGATCTAGATCTGGTGAACGAGATAACAAAAGATACGACGGAAGGAATAAACACAGGTCACGTTCTAGGGAAAAGATACCCCGCTCTAGGTCGCTGAGCGTGGAGTTGAAAGGTCATTCATCAAGAAATGAGAATAAGAAAACCTCGAAGAGAAATAGTAACCATTCACGTGATAAGTCATCAGAAAGTAGAAAAGAAGACAAACGCATGGATAAAGCAAGTACAATAAGAGAAGGTAGATATCCACAAAAATCAAGATCTCATTCTGAAAGAAAGGAAGATGATATAAAAAAGATTTCTACAAAAGTTCTCCCTAAATCATATTCATCAAATAATGACTCTGGTACAATAAGTCAATCAGAAGTATTACAAAAGAGTCGATCACCTAGTAGAAAAAAGAACTACCCTAGAAATGACTCAAATAAGTTAGCAAAGAAGAGAAGACACAGCTCATCTTCTAGCAGTCATTCATCCAGCTCACCTGTAACCAGAAATAGCCTCATTACATTTGCTACCACAAAATCTAAATTACCCAAGGCATATGCAGAACCTGTCCAGAGTAAAACAAATGATGGTAAAGAAAAGGATACGGATGAGCAGAGAGGAAGGAAAGGTAGAAGAAATAGGAGTAGATCATCCTCATTTTCTTCACCTGAAGTTAAAATTCCAAAAGCTTATTCAATTTCTAACAAACAGGAAGATTTAAAAAGGAAAACTGGGTCTGTGGAGAACAAATATGGAAAAGGAGATGACAAACGTTTAACAAACGATAATGCTGATCACGGAAAAAACAAAAAATCTGAAGAAACTAGAACAAAGTCTACAAGTACAAAGAAAATAGTTTCTCCAACGAGATCCTCCACAAGACATAGAAATACCAGTCATGATTCTGCTGAAAAAAAAAATAAGCATAGTGATAAACTATCAAGAAGTCCATCGTGTATTGAAAATGATTTTAAAAGAGGGGTTGAGAAGGAGAAAGCAAATAAAAGGAAACAATCCAATTCCGACACCAATACTTTTAGGGAAAAGGATATGGAAATATTAAAATCGCCCAAAGATTCAAGTAAGTCCAAATCAGAAAAGAACTCGTCGAGTAAATTGCCAAAAAAGAAATCAAAGAAACGTTCCCATAGTTCATCACCAGATTTGAAACAAACAAAGAAAAAGAAAAAAGAGAAAAAGAAAAAGAAATCGAAGGACAAGAAAAAGGACAAGAAACACAAAAAGAAGGACAAAAAGGAAAAAGTAAAAAATGTGAAGGAGGAAGAGCCAAAAAAACCATCTGATATACAGCAACGGCTGCTCCAAATTGCTCAAGGTTGGACCAATGTTTAAATATCAATTTAATTACAATATTGTTTCCTTAAATAACTTTTTAATTTAATAACTTCAATATTAGGGTGAGATAATCTTTTGTTTTCGTCCAGAAGTGTGGGTATTCTTAATTGGGGGTACAGTAGTCCATCTTTCCCCTCCCCCATATTCTGGATGTTTGATAGCAGTATGGAATTATGGTGTTAAATGTACTTATATTATTACATGTATTATTTAAAATGTAATACCTGGCAGGTTCAAATGGCAGTGCACTGATTAAATCAATTTGTTTAGGCTGTTTTGACCACATTGCAAAACAATTTTAATACTGTCCGCGTGTACAAAAGGCAAAAATGAACAGATTGAGCGCGCTGCATGGCACAATGTTTGGACGATTTCATTATCTGAAAAGAGTTTATAAAAAGGCAATTGCTCGTGAACAATATTAAAAATAAATTCCCAATCTAATGTATTCATAACACTATAAACGTAAGATAAATCCAATATCAAGCGTATTCATTTAATGAATTATAACCACCCTTTGATACAGCAGGTACCATATTTTCATCAGTTCACAAAATGGAACACGTCTGAATCCCTGGGTGCGCTGTGAGCTCGGTCAGTTATTCTTCTTGAAAGCCTTTGAAAGAATGAAAAAATGATGGAAGAAAATTTTATCCAATGAGATTATTTTAAAATATATAACCGATAGCAAGAAAATTTCTATTGCTGCTTTAACCTAAGCAAATGGATTGGTATAGTCAAAGCTATGATGTTTTAAGTAAATGACTCCTCACAAGCCTGCTCAAATCCGGCTGAAAACACGCTAATATCGCTTATGTTTTCGTAATTCAATGTAAAAATTATGGTGCTAAATATTTGAAAACAAATATTTTGTCAATAGCTGTATTTATAACTTTCTGTAAATCATTTTAACCTAAGTCATCCAACCTCTAGTTTTTGAGTTACCGTTTTTCTAGTAAAATCAGTCGATATTTTTAAAGAAACAATAATGGTTAAGAGATAGGGTGATTTTCACGTCATCGCATTTGCAGTTAAATGGACCAAACAAATTGATATGTATTAGCTGCTACATCATAGCGTAATATCCAGAGTGTCAAGGCACAGTACTGTGTCTTTGTTTGATGCATTGACCAGCTTAATGTGATGCAAAATACAGCTCTCTCTCTAAAGACTGCTCCAGTTAAAGACCACTTTTTCGTGGTCCCATATAAACATATCTTTTACATTTATTGTTCTAACTACAAACTGAAGCTGCTAAAGGCCATTGAAACCCAGTTCCCAAAAGTTATCTTTAATTGGAGGGAGACTTGTAGTGGCATTGTCATTACTTTATGCAATAATCATAAAAGGCCAACCTAATATTTACAGGGGTTGTATTTTTTTTTTTGCAGGGAATCAGGTTAGCAATAAAACAGATGAGACACTTGTAAGTAAAGGACCCATGACAAAAGAAGACTATGAAAAGCAACAAAGCCAAGTCCGCCGTGTATATGACCCAGATTCAGATAGACACAGGTAAGCTTGGAAGGTTCATATTCCTTGTAATTCCCTCTTCCCCATTTATATTTACTTCTTTGCTCTCAGCTAGTTAGTAATATTAATGTTTGGGGCAGAAACATTTGAAAAAGTTCCAACAAATATATAAAAGACTATACTGTAAAACCGAAAGGTCCACTGATTAATCTCAGATAAGAAAGTATAATACATACTCCAAGTATTGAAATACACGCCATCGTGTTGGGATTCAATATTTTGACATTAATTATGTCATCATCGGGAATCATTCCTGATTGTGACATAATTAATGTCGAAATATTGAATCCTAACACGATGGCGTGTATACTGTAATATATTAATATTTTTAAATTGCAGTGTTTTCTTACATTTCCGTTTGTATTGAATTGCATATTAAAGATTTTAAGTTGATTTTACTGCATGTTTATACAATATATGACCACTACCAATTATGTCTTTTTGCATTACTTGATGTTGTGTGTATATTTTGTGTCTGTATTAGATTGGTAAGAGGCGATGGTGAAATAATTGAAGAAATTGTTAGCAAAGGTAGACACAAGGAAATAAACAAGGTAAACATACCGTAAAATGCATTGAGATATTCCCTTTTTTCTCTTTAGTGGGGTTAAACCCACTTTTTTTCTTCTTGTTTTTTGTTATCTGCTCACTGTAGACTTAAAATAATTTTAGCACATTTGTATGCAAAATACATTGAGGTATTCTTAATATGTATGCACTAATACTATAACTTGTGAGAAGTATGGTAAAGAAATTACTAGATAAATAGTAGATTAATATTACTACATAATGTATGAATTGTGACTATTAACTGATACACCTGAAGTATTTAAGAATACTTCTGTTAAAATGTTATTGTTCCTAATAATCCCCCTTCACCATTTTATGCATTATGAGTTTAATCATTGTGTGGTTGATCTTATAAAGCTATCAAATTAAAGATTTATAGCTCCGTGATCATATATTGTGATTGTCATTGTAATATTGTGACTGATACAGGACAATGCTAAATTATCTCCTCAGCAAGCAACCAAAGGTGATGGTGCATCATTTGCCAAGGCCCTTGGGATATACAGATAGCAGATGATGTAATGCATATATCATATGCATACCAAACAAACAAGGCTTTTGATGTAATGGAATATTAATAACAAGTGAAAGATTGAGGGCAGCATATAAGAAAATCACAGCATCATTGGGTGTAATTTGCAAGCAACAGAGCATACTAGACAGTATCATGTGTTAGTAGGTTTTTGACTGATGATATTCAGTTAATTACAAAAATCTGTTCACTTTTCAATTACTAACTTCTGATTCTTTTTTACCTGTTAGCGGTCATTGAACCTCAGCTTGATATCATAAGTACTGAGTTTTATTGCATAAACAATGTATTAGATTTAAACGATTTTTACATTTTCCTATATTTTATATCTATTTATTTAACAAAATATATTATTTGCTCTGATATTTGTATTTTCATATCTTCATTAGTGTTTTTTACTCTTAATGATAACAGGTATGATGAGGCAGCACCCTGAGACTAACTTTAAAGAAGTAAGTTTATATTTTATTAGATATGCGCTTTTGCTGGCAGTCAATGCCAGCTTCATCAGAAGAGTTGACAGCCAGGCATAATTGATTTTTAAAAAATGTTGCAAGTCTTCTTAAATTCTGTTCGTTACAGTCTGTCTATTATCAGGAAAGACATTTGCATGTTGTAAATGTTCTCTGTTTCACTAGAAATCTTGTCATATGCTGAGAATCCAGTTATCAGTGAAGGTGTAACCATGGAGGTATTTTTCTTGTTTCTACCTCTATGGTGTAACAAAGGCTGAACCATTTGTAACAGTCCATTCGTGTGGTGGAATAATCATACCATGCCGTAATATCCAATCTATTAAAGAATTGAGCATTTCCTTTGGTCCCCTAGCAGCGAGGGATTGTTTAACCTATACAAGGTCAGATTTAAATGGTGTGGACAATCTGTATTAATGTCAAGCTGCAGCTTGGTGCTTAAAATTCTTACCTGCCAATCCAAGGGTTTTTCTCACCAATCAAACAACTCTACTCCCTAATCTTCATAAAAACATGTTGTACCATCCTGAGTTTAAAATATGTTGGATAATAGGAATTAAGAAATAGAAATAGTGTTCTTCATTCTCATCCAAATAGAATGATTTGGCAATAACAGAATAAACGTTGCACTATAACTCAAGTGTCTTTATGAGGCTTAAGTAGAGTTGTTATTGATTCACAGGATTTGAACACAGGATCCTGAAATTAGAAGGCAAGCATCTTAACGACCAAGCTACAGGTTCACTCCATCATAGCATTTAAATTCATTACTTTTTAACTTATTCCTGAACTGGACATTCTGAATTCAGAATCTATATTTGAATATCAAATGCCTTGATAACTTTATGTCATAAGGATTTATATCAGCTTAAAACTATTTTGATCAATGGAATGGAAATTAATTTAAAAAATGTATTTTGAAGGTTCAGACATTAAAATCAAGCAGGAAATACAGTTCACCTTCCAATTTGAAACCACCTTTGCTACCTGAAAAATTTGGGGTGTTCTCTGGGTTCAGTTTCAGTAGCATAGTGTAATAGATTGAAGATTGTTGTTTGGTTCTTTGAATCAAGGTGTGTCGGAATTAGAGGGGTCTCCAATTGGAGGGTGCACTGTATTGATTTTGTATTAGTGAACTGTTTAGCCAAGATGCACATGTCTCAATGCAAGGGAGCTGTTGCAATAGCATTTGCACATTGTGCTCTCTTATACCCCATTCAGACTAGCATCGCATTGCGATCGGTTGTAGTGCCACCCAATCGCAAAGTAAAATCGTGTGTGAAAGCTCACCAATAGTAGTCGATATGTAATCGATATCGCAATTGTTACCCGTTGCGATTGGGTGCTACAATCTTTATCACTCCCGATTACCACGGAATCCGATCGCAACGAATCACAACGAATTCCACAGGCATTGTTTGGCTGAGGTCAGTCAACATAGGCCTAGCCATCGGAGGCCTAGGCCCTAGAATGTTCAGTTTGTTTGTGTTGGTCTGAATGCGTTCGTTGATTGCGATCGGGAGTAATCAGTTTTGGATTACCACCGATTACATCGCAACCGATCACAACAGAGTGTAGTCTGAATAGGGTATTACTAGAGGTTGTAGTTCAAATTTCATGCTGCCTATTATGCTTGTGTCCCTTGCCCATTGTCTCCCTTTGTGAAGGTAGAATAACCCATAACTCGTAGAGTCAGACTGCTGAATTGCGTAAAGGCGTGGCCCGTGGCCAGCCACCGAAAATAAGGTCCTTAATAGCTTCATGTTCACATCATTGCACAATGACCGGGGCTGTAATGAACCATTGCATTTTCTAATATACAATAGTTATTATTCGTTTTTACAATACTTAAATATTTCATTTTGTTATTGGTAAGAATAATTTGCATATCACATCTTAATTTTTTGCCTGGTGAATGTACCTGGTAGGATGAGCTAAATCAATAGCTTTTCTTCTTAGATTGACTACAAGTCTACCTAGGCCTTGAGTATTTAGATAAATAAAATAGATAGATGAAAATAGGTATTTGTGCATGGTCAGTGTCTTAAACCGGTGTGGTTTTTTCCGATTGGGGTTGGAGTTGCATGTACAGTGGGTTTACGATATCCTGGAGAAGCTGTCTGGCCTAAAGGGAGGGTAGTATTATGTTATTTTATTTAACATCTTCAACCTGATCAAGTAGGGAATCAGACTGGTTTTTGGCTGCAGTTTTGAGCTTTCGTTGTGTGACTGTTGGGTTGCAATTTGTAGTGGGTCTGAATGAAGCAACTGGTACGAATGTTTTCAGTTTAAATTGTATTAATTATTTCTCTCATACATCTCAGGTCTTGAGATTTCAGGTCTTTGAGTTTGTCAGCCATTTAATTTCTGCCTTAAGATTTGTACCTTTGTCACCATTCAAGTTGGTTTGAGTATGTACAGTTCTGTGAGGTGTACTTGCTGTTGTAGTTTGGACGGAAACATGTGCTACATTTTGTACATCTGACATAGAGAAAGTTGACAAGTTTAAATCTTGCATACATTTACTTAATTGAATTTCTTCAAAATCCTATTGCACAAGGGCTATTTGGTGTGAATGTTATTGTTGTCATGTTCTTCAAATCAAATTAGTAAATCCTTTTTCTTTTCGTCAAGAGTCACTGCATCTCGGAATAGTTCACTAGATAGACGGTGCATTATAAATGCTGTTTTATTATTATTATTATTATTATTTTTATTATTATTATTATTATTATTATTATCTTCAGGGAATCGATAAAAAGAAGAGAGGCTATCTTTGTACCTCAGCCAGTCAAGCTTACTCAAGTTGTTTATATGATATGATGTTGGCTTGTGTAGTTTAAAGAGTTAAAAAAGAAAGCCTAGGTTGTCTAGCCATATCAATAATCCATGACAGAACAAAGGCTTATAATCAAGTTTGAATATTCCTTTGCAGGCCTAGCTTTGAAAGCTAAAATTAAATTGAGTAGGATATTGCACGTACAGTAGTAGATCCTTCTTCTTGTATGCTGCTGCCCTCTACATGCTGAAGATTTTACAGCTTTAATGTGTGTATGACTGTATTATTTATCATCTAACTTCCTCAAGTAGTTGGACTTGTTGAACCTTAGTCACATTATCTTGTGCATCTACTAAAGCACCTCTTTGTAAAAGTATTTTGCAGACACTGATGTGGCCATATCCAGATGCTACTACTGCTACTATTAGGGCCGTGGTGCCATTATTATTTTGTGCATCTACTACGTCACCATTTTCTGAAAGTATCTTGCACACGCTTCCATGGCCTTCTTAAAGTGCTACTATTAGGAATGTAAAACCATCTTTAGTTTTCAAATCAAGATCTGCACCCATCTGAATTAATGTATCGACAACTTGATGATAACATTTAGATGATGCATGTATTAATGCTGTCCATCCACCTTGCTATAGACACAAGGCTCAAAGAAATTTGATTTAAAAAGGATCCTTGCCGCACACTATCTTGTGCATCCAGTAAATCACCTCTTTCTAAAAGTATTTTGAGGACAATGATGTGGCCATTTCCAGAGGCTACCATTAGGGCTGTGGTGCCTTTATTAGTAATAGTGCATATGCTACAGCTCCATTTTTTAAAAGTATCTTGCAAACGCTGCGATGGCTTCTTAAGATGCTACTATTAGGGCCGTAAAACCATTTTTAGTTTTCAAATCAAGATTTGCGCCCCTTTTAATTAATGTAGCGACAACTTGATGATAAAATTTAGATGATGCATGTATTAATGCTGTCCATCCAGCTTGCTATAGACACAAGGCTCAAAGAAATTTGATTTAAAAAGGATCCTTGCCGCACACTATCTTTTGCATCCAGTAAATCACCTCTTTCTAAAAGTATTTTGAGGACACTGATGTGGCCATTTCCAGAGGCTACTATTAGGGCCGTGGTGCCATTATTAGTAACAGTGCATATGCTACAGCTCCATTTTTTAAAAGTATCTTGCAAACGCTGCGATGGGCTTTTTAAGATGCTACTATTAGGACCGTAAAACCATCTTTGTTTTTCAAATCAAGATCTGCACCACGTTTAATTAATGTAGCGACAACTTGATGATAACATTTAGATGATGCATGTATTAATGCTGTCCATCCACCTTTCTATAGACACAAGGCTCAAAGAAATTTGATTTCAAAAGGATCCTTGCCGCACACTATCTTGTGCATCCAGTAAATCACCTCTTTCTAAAAGTATTTTGAGGACACTGATGTGGCCATTTCCAGAGACTACTATTAGGGCCGTGGTGCCTTTATTAGTTTGTGCATTTACCACGGCACCATTTTTTAAAAGTATCTTGCAAACGCTGCGATGGCCTTCTTAAGATGCTAATATTAGGACCGTAAAACCATTTTTAGTTTTCAAATCAAGATCTGCACCCCTTTTAATTAATGTAGCGACAACTTGATGATAACATTTAGATGATGCATGTATTAATGCTGTCCATCCACCTTTCTATAGACACAAGGCTCAAAGAAATTTGATTTCAAAAGGATCCTTGCCGCACACTATCTTGTGCATCCAGTAAATCACCTCTTTCTGAAAGTATTTTGCAGACAATAATGTGGCCATTTCCAGAGGCTACTATTAGGGCCGTGGTGCCATTATTAGTAATAGTGCATATGCTACAGCTCTATTTTCTAAAAGTATCTTGCAAACGCTGCGATGGGCTTTTTAAGATGCTACTATTAGGGCCGTAAAACCATCTTTGGTTTTCAAATCAAGATCTGCACCACGTTTAATTAATGTATCGACAACTTGATGATAACATTTAGATGATGCATGTATTAAAGCTGTCCATCCAGCTTGCTATAGACACAAGGCTCAAAGAAATTTGATTTCAAAAGGATCCTTGCCGCACACTATCTTGTGCATCCAGTAAATCACCTCTTTCTGAAAGTATTTTGAGGACAATGATTGGCCATTTCCAGAGGCTACTATTAGGGCCGTGGTGCATTTATTAGTTTGTGCATTTACCACGGCACCATTTTTTAAAAGTATCTTGCAAATGCTGCGATGGCCTTCTTAAGATGCTAATATTAGGACCGTAAAACCATTTTTAGTTTTCAAATCAAGATTTGCGCCCCTTTTAATTAATGTAGCGACAACTTGATGATAACATTTAGATGATGCATGTATTAATGCTGTCCATCCACCTTGCTATAGACACAAGGCTCAAAGAAATTTGATTTAAAAAGGATCCTTGCCGCACACTATCTTGTGCATCCAGTAAATCACCTCTTTCTAAAAGTATTTTGAGGACACTGATGTGGCCATTTCCAGAGACTACTATTAGGGCCGTGGTGTCATTATTAGTTTCTGCATATACCACGGCACCATTTTTTAAAAGTATCTTGCAAACGCTGCGATGGGCTTTTTAAGATGCTACTATTAGGACCGTAAAACCATCTTTAGTTTTCAAATCAAGATTTGCGCCCCTTTTAATTAATGTAGCGACAACTTGATGATAACATTTAGATGATGCATGTATTAATGCTGTCCATCCACCTTGCTATAGACAAGGACACAAGTTCAAAGGAATTTAATTTGAAAACAATCCTTGCCGCACACTATCTTGTGCATCTACACATCTAAAGCACCTCTGTTCACGAGACAAAGTAAAGGAACTCAGCTTTTGAGGCTCAAAACTCATTTTCAATCAAATTCACAGTTTATAGTTCACAATTTTTTGGTATTTTACGTAAAAATTCACTGAATTCACTTGTATCACTATTCACTAAATTTTCAACTTTATGTTGATTCCTCAAATTCTCAATTCTAAATTCAGTTGTTAATTTACTTGTTAATTTTGCTTAAATCTGCTTTGTTTCTAATTTAATTCCGTGCAGTAATCTTCACTTAGTTCACATTTTAATTCTGATTTCATTTCAATTTAATTCTGACTTAATTTAGTCACAGATTCACATTTTTATTACTCCTTTCCTCCTTTTAATGGTTACTTAATTTTTGTTTTTAAATTTCTCTAAATTATAAAATTCCTCCTGAACATTTCTTCCCTTCCTCGACATACACTGCCAAAGTATGCTCAGAGTCACCTTTATTTTATTTTACAGCTAAAAGTACATATTTCACTACTTTAATTTAGTTATTTATTATTTATTTTTTTTTTGGGTTTTAATTGTTTTTTGTTTTGGGGGGGGGGGGGTGTTATTTATTTTTTACTTAACTGCAATTATGTGTCAATAACTACTACATACAGTACTAAAACTTTTTTTGTTGTTGAGGTCTACATTGCTTATACAATTATGGATTCTTATTGTTCATTTTCCTGTATTTCCAATGGACATATTTTACATGGCTTCACAAATTCTCCTTTGCAGTTTTTACTTTCACTACTCTTACATGCCCATCTTCCCCTGAGTAAACATTAATTATTCTCCATAATGGCCAATGTCCTCTAATAGTTTTTTTTTCTAATACCAATACAACATCATTCAATTGAATATATTTTTAACTTTTCTCCATTTCTTTTCTTTGATTTAGAGTAGGAATATATTCTTTTAACCATTTTTGCTAAAAATGTTTAACTAGCTCCTGTACCCTTCATCGTTTTCTTGGAGGGAATTTTGTTGTATCAATAGCAATTTCTGCTGCAAACCTTCCCCCCCCCCCCCAATTTGTCCATGCAAAAAATGGTTTGGTGTTAATGATTTGGCTATTTTAGGAAACGGGATTCCCTTTAGATGATCATACGATTTGGATATGTCTATCCATGTGGCAGTCTTTTAATTTCTGTCTACATTTTCAGTTGTCAGTGCTTCTATTTTAAAGCTGGAATCAATCCCTTTTATTTCAGTTGTCAAAAGCCTAGTTTTAAAAGTTTTGTACTCCTTCTTTAGCATTCCTACTGTTATTTCTTTAGTCTTTCAATGCACTCCCAGTTCAGCGGCCACATCAGCATTTATGTAGCTTTGTTCAACAGTGCATTTATATTGATTCTTTTATTTCCTTTTTGGACAGTTACCTTAATTGTTATCAGTGCAACATATTTTGTTTTAGTTAACATTGTTAAGGGAGCAATGCATTAACTCTCCCCTTCCATTGGGGAACAGTTTTCATTTTTATTGATTTTCGGGCTATGCAGTAATTGAATGTGATCACTCTTACATCCATTTATACCACACAGCATTTTTCACCTACATATGTCTTCCCAGACATTTAAAGCGCAGCGTTTTCTCACTTTAAATTTTTCATCTTTTATTTGTTTCTTGACTCTTGAAATGTACACATTCTCATAATTTATGCTTGTCATTGCAGTTTGGGCATTGTTCTTCGGACGTTGTATTTGTGAAAAATTACTTTAGGCATACTATCTCACTGGGTGTGGTCTTCAATAGCCCTGTCGAATAGATTGTTCGATGCAGGTGCTTCTTTTTCCAAAGATTGTATAGGTTCCCTGCGTGTCGTAAGGCCATCTTTATTCTCAAATCAAGATTAGCGCCCCTTTGAATCAAAGTATGAACAACTTTATGATAACCTTTGGATGATGCATGTATTAATGTTGTCCATCCAGCTTGCTATAGACACAAGGCCTAATGAAACTTTATTTCAAAACAATCCTCACCGCACACTATCTTGTGCATCCACTAAAGCACCTCTTTCTAAAAGTATTTTGCAGACACTGATGTGGCCATTTTCAGAGGCTACTATCAGGGCTGTGGTGCCATTATTGGTTTGTGCATTTACTACGGCACCATTTTCTAAAAGTATCATGCAAACTCTGCGAAGGCCTTCTTAGGATGCTACTATTAGGACCGTAAAACCATCGTTAGTTTTCAAATCAAGATTTGCACCACGTTTAATTAATGTATCAACAACTTGATGATAACATTTAGATGATGCATGTATTAATGCTGTCCATCCAGCTTGCAAGGCTCAAAGAAATTTGATTTCAAAAGGATCCTTGCCGCACACTATCTTGTGCATCCAGTTAAACACCTCTTTCTAAAAGTATTTTGCAGACACTGATGTGGCCATTCCCAGAGACTACTATTAGGGCCGTGGTGCCATTATTAGTTTGTGCATTTACTACGGCACCATTTTTTAAAAGTATCTTGCAAATGCTGCGATGGCCTTCTTAAGATGCTACTGTTAGGACCGTAAAACCATCTTTAGTTTCAAATCAAGATCTGCACCCATTTGGATTAATGTATCGACAACTTGATGATAACATTTAGATGATGCATGTATTAATGCTGTCCATCCACCTTTCTATAGACACAAGGCTCAAAGAAATTTGATTTCAAAAGGATCCTTGCCGCACACTATCTTGTGCATCCAGTAAATCACCTCTTTCTGTAAGTATTTTGCAGACACTGATGTGGCCATTTCCAGAGGCTACTATCAGGGCTGTGGTGCCATTATTGGTTTGTGCATTTACTATGGCACCATTTTCTAAAAGTATCATGCAAACGCTGCGAAGGCCTTCTTAAGATGCTACTATTAGGACCGTAAAACCATCTTTAGTTTTCAAATCAAGATCTGCGCCACGTTTAATTAATGTATCAACAACTTGATGATAACATTTAGATGATGCATGTATTAATGCTGTCCATCCAGCTTGCTATAGACACAAGGCTCAAAGAAATTTGATTTAAAAAGGATCCTTGCCGCACACTATCTTGTGCATCCAGTAAATCACCTCTTTCTGAAAGTATTTTGAGGACAATGATGTGGCCATTTCCAGAGGCTACTTATAGGGCCGTGGTGCCATTATTAGTTAGTGCATATGCTACGACACCATTTTCTAAAAGTATCTTGCAAACGCTGCGATGGCCTTCTTAAGATGCTACTATTAGGGCCGTAAAACCATCTTTATTTTTCAAATCAAGATTAGCGCCCCTTTGAATTAATGTATCAACAACTTGATAACCTTTGGATGATGCACGTATTAGTGCTGTCCATCCAGCTTGCTACAGACACAAGGCTCAAAAAAGTTTGATTTCAAAACAATCCTTGCCACATGAAATAATAGTACTATACCATGCCAGTAGTACTATACCATGCCTTCAATGCCCTCTGGCAAAAATTTGAAAAGTTTATGAATATTAGAAATGGAACACGGTGATCTGTTGGTTATGTATCTGAAATGAGTGGAATACTCAAAAACGACCTGTATCTCTCAATTGTGACGCCCCGACTCAGAGCTGCAATGCGCAGTGTGTAGACATTGTTTATTGATAAAGCTTTCTTGTTAAATTTACGCCTCCATACATTGTAATTATCTTACTCGAATTCGATTTAAAAAGTGTTCACATGTTTTCCTGTAGTGTAGCTTATTTCCATGAGCTCGGCTATCGCACTACATGTTCTTTAACAAAATGTATGCCTTCTTTTAAAGTGTGACAATACATGGACTATCGTATGGCTAAATCTCCCCGTCTCCAACGAAGATGGTCGTGCAAGTTTATACATACATGACCATCTTCATAAAATTTTACCTCCCACACCTATTAACCCTTTCACTGCTGTAGGTATATGCACCCCCTGTGCTGGGACTTTTTTTAACGAAAAAAGTTAATTTTTAAAATAATTTTAAAAAAATACTAAAAGAGGTTATTTCGAAATTCTTTTTGTGTGTTGGAGCGAGCAATAGGTTGGCCTACGCGAGTAACATTGATATTTGGTATTTTGCATAATTAGGTAGTCATGTGACCTCAAAGTCGCCATTTTGAATTTCTTTTTTTCTCAATGAAATTTTTATGGAATGTTTTTTTTTTTACTTTATAATGATGCAGACACACAAGATGAATAAAAAAAAAAGGTAGTCATGAACCACGCCTATACAAATTTCAGCACAGCAAAGCTGCGAGTTTTGGGTTATTCTCCTACATTTACCTTTATAAAAGGTAAATGTAAAGAGTGTAAAGTCTATAATTTTTTAACAGAATTGCTACTGATGCAGGTGAGAAAATACTTTTATGCTCCCCTACTATCGATATTACTGTTAACAATTTGATAATTTTTTTATTATTGTGAAAGGAAAAATAAATAATTTAAATAACTCAACACACACAAACACTATGTGTATTTTATATTAATTTATTTTCAATGTCCAGAATATTTTGTGTAATTTATAGTGTTTGTATTTTCAAAATTTAGAAAGAAAATGTTTAGCAATTTAGAGAGATTTTTAAAATGCAATTTGTGCTTCATTTATACTGTATTGCATTATGTAAAATTGTACAGTACTTTGTAAAGGTGGTTTCATAATACCACACTTAAAGATAAAGCTGTCAGACTTTAAACCTAAATGCCGGTCAGTGGTGGCACCATTTACTTGACGAGGGCCAACATTCTCAACAGAAGCATAAGTGGCCGTGGCCAGGAGCCACCCAAAATTCCTTGGAGGGGTCCAGAAGTGAAGCTCCAACAATTTGTGTATTTGTGACATTTACTAATTAGATTTTAAAGTCTCAATTCCATGATTAATTTTGTTGACCTCCTCAACAGTGGCGGCTCCAGGATATAATTTATGTGGGGGGGGGGATAAGTTGTCCAACCATTATCTGAGGGCCGAAGGCCTGAGCCGAGGGCGCATATGGGAGGGAGGTGTTCCCTCCTCCCAAAACAAGGTTTTTTTTAAAATTTGGGATTTCCTGATGGCCTGAAATGGCTGGGATGGGAAATCTAGGCCTACTAGCCCCCCCCCCCCCAGCTGGTGCCGCCACTGCTCCTTAACCATGGGAGCTCTCCATGACAGGGCCCTTCACGCCGACCTTCTCAGCCTCCCTCAGCCCGACTGGCATGACCACTGATGTTTCAGACGCACCAAACACAACTGGACAGTGCTTTGACCGTGTCTGAACATGAGTATAACAGAAACAAATTTGATAGTATGTGCTAGCTGAAATTTATTCTATTCTTGTGTAGGAAATACACAAAAATTATGACTGATGTATATATGTGTAAAGCATTTATAACCTACAGATCGCTTATGATCTAAAATAATTGAAATGTTAGATGTGTATCTCGGTGATATGTTTCACTCGATAATTTTGGTTTCTTGCAGTATTTCTATTGGCATGAATGAAATCATAATTCAATTAATGAACATGTATTTTGAATTCTTAAATATAAACTGTCTGCAATAAGATATGGAAAACTTATAAACAATTCAATTACAATATGAAATAGTGTAAAAGGATTGTAGTGGAGGTGTAGCATAATGGTTAAGTCTCTTGCCTTCCAATCCCATGGTCGTGGGTTCAAATCCTGTGACATGTCTGGTAGCAAAGAACATTTTCAATTGAAAAAGCTAATAACTAAAGGAGTTAATTAAATATATATTTTAAGAAATATTTTAACACCTGTTTTAATATTTTAATTATTTTTTTTTAAATATTTATTTAACATTTTTGGTTCAGATTTTTATTTTCTTTTGTATACTGTAATTTGTTTGTGAAATCTGCAGAGGATAGAGTTTTTTTTTTTCCCAAAGCAATCCACCTTGATAAAAAAAACAAAAGGAGTCACTTCATAAAGTGCATACCTCTGTCTTGTGCCTGGTATGATGGACAATTCCATTATTTTCGGTCCTGTGCCTGAATACTGAACAATATCAGGGCGAGACTTTGTTTATTCCTTGTTTCGCATACTTATTTTTTTAAAGGTCTTCGGAGGAGGGTGGAATAAAAATAAAAATAAAGTTTTGTTTTCTTATTTAGCAAATAGTTTTTGCCAAAAACATCCAGATGGAGGGAAAAATAAAAATAAAATTTTATTGGTGAATGTAAAATGGGATGTTTAAATGCTTCACATTTATATAATTAGGAAGAAATATACATATCTTATCTTTAGAGATTTCAAGGCAGCAGAGGACGTAATAAACATTTTTTAAAACTTTTTTTTCTGAAATTTCCATTTTTCATGGCAGCGGGTGTGCTAATTGGCCAAAAATAAAATTTCAATTTTATTTGAAATCATCAATATCTGCGTTCAGCGGGTTTGCTAAACAAAGTATAAAAAAAAGTCTCGCCCAGGCCATGTATGATGGGCCATTCCATTATGCTCGGGATAAAAAATTGAATTTTCATGATTTTGTACTTTGACCTTTACTTCCCAAAATTTAATTTAATTTCGAATATTATGTACCATTCCACTAAATTTTATGATGATCAATTATTAGTCTTCGCATAATCTTGCTAACAGACAGACAGTGCTGAATACATAGGCCTAACCTTCTTTGGTGGAGTTAATAATAAAAATCAGAAACAGAGCTTATTACAGGCAGTAATACCTTTTTAAATGTTTCTTAATTCAACTGTAATATTCCAACTGTGTGGTTTTATAAAATATTTTCAATTTGATTGTAATACATGTGTGGATGTACATTATGATCTGTAAAAATAAATATTGAACTCTATCAGAATTATATTTTTGTCAACATTAATATTGTGTATATTGTATTTGGGTCAGATTTTAAAACAAGTATCTGAGTGTCTGTAAATTGACATCATATCACATTGCTGTCATACAGTGTACCCTCTAATTCGAAACCCCTCTAATTCGAGAAGAACCAAAAAAAAAAAAAAAAATACTGTATTCAATCTATTATATTAATACTAAGCCACCCCAATTTTTAGGTCCCAAATTGTAGAGAAAACTGTAGTTTCAACCAATCATTCATTCATTCGATACTTTATTTTGAAATAACATTTCCATACAACAAAAATAGTTACTATACATTTCGAGCTATGTAATCGGAGGAGGATCGTTTTAGTTCAACTCTTTGGCCTGGTGCCTGCACACCCAAATTAATATTGATCAAATCCAATCAAACTTTCATGCAAGCAATTAGTGGTGACATATATAGGCGATGAAAGTTTCCAGAGGCTAATGGGATTGTATAATTTTCTAATCTGTTATTCATTCATTCATTCGTGAAAGGTTTATTTCCAAAATGTATCATAGTTGAAAACTGAATTAGTAATACTGTAATAATAATAATAATAATAATAATAATAATAATAATAATAATAATAATAATAATAATAATAATAATAATAATAATAATAATAATAATAATAATAATAAATATTAATAATTTTAGCTTATAATATATAGTGCATTATGCTAAAGCTTCAATGTGCTTAAAACAATCAAATTGAAAATTCCGGAAGAAAACATTTAAGAAAAGTACAGGTGAAAAAGATGTTTAAAGCTGCTTTAAAATCAACAACGAAGGCTGCCTGTCAGATTGTAATAGGCAGAGCATTCCAAAGAAAGACAGAGGCCCAAGAAAACGAACAATTACATGATTGTTAACGGATGAAATAGACCCTGAACTTGAGGAATTATGAAGAGATTTGAAAATGAATGACAAAATCTTGAAGTGAATCTCTGTGTTACAGGAAGCTAATGAAGTTGCCTTAACAAATGTTACAATTTACTATATACAAATTACAAACATAAGAAATATTCAATTCAATTCAATTTATTCAACAAATACCCCCAGGCTGGGGAAGGTAAAAAGAGGCCTAGAAAATACAATAAAATTTCACACTACAAAATAAATCAGAAGAAACTCGCATCCATTATACAACAACAAAAGGTACGGGAATTTAAAATGCTCTTATTAAAAGTTAATGATTGTATGAATAGGCCTATCGTTATTGTATAAGCAGTTCTTTACACTGTCACAGATTCCATGGTTTACGCAATTGTGACTCTTTATATCAGCCTTTAAACGTTTCTTGTATAATTATTGAATATAACAGAAACAAAGGATACATTTCTATCGATATTACCCTTGATTTTGTCAATGAGAGGTGAAATCCGGGGCGGATGCAATGGGGTGCAGACGGTGCGATCGCATTCATATTAAGAAAAATATTGTGACATGTATTATTGGTAAGATTTAAGGTATGAGAGTGCAATTTCAGGGCACCCAGAGTTCCATATTTTCAAAAATTTCGCACCTCAGCCCCAACCATGTTGGGGCTCAGGTGGTGTAGACTCTCATGCACCCAATGGGCGCAGATCATGGGGGAAGTGGACGACGGAAAGTTGGTTCCCATCACTTTTCGTCCGCAATGCAATTTCATGAGTTAAGAAGATGCCTGAAAATTGTTGAAATAAGCTGCATAAATGACCCACGTTTTAACGAAAAGGCGCTGTAAAGCCAGAGTAGGCCTACATCATATTTTATAGCAACAAACTGGTACTCTGCCACAAACATCTGAATTACACGACTCGAATGCGCATGCCTTTAATTATAATTTGAGAAGTATGAAAAAGCGTGCAAAGATAAGATTGGTTTTCGGCACATCAAAGTAAGTTTTTATATGGTACATCACAGCGATTAATTAGATCGAAGATGATGAATTTTACTATATAAGAGTCATATCCGGCAATCTAAAGGTACTATTTCCTCAAATTTTACCACTTCAGCCCCAACTCACGGTTTTTAAAGTAGGTAAAGTAAATATCGAAGACAATGTTTTTTTTAAGTTTTATTTTCTATGTAGGCCTACACACACATAAGTCTCTGTGGTTGTCGAAACTCGCTGATAAAGATCATGAGAATTTGTTGGCGCTTCATTTTAATAATGGTGATGTGATTATGATGAATTATACTATATAGGCCTAAAAGTGTCATCAGGTATCTACAGGTAGACCTACTATTTCCACGAAATTTCCCCACCTTTCAAAACAGATCTGCGCTCTTTATGTACCCCATACCACCGCCAAATCCTGCATTCGCCCCAGGAAGTGGGGGCCCGGCTCAATGATTAAGTGCAGCTGGCTCCAGAAATTCGCGGACAAGGGGTCTGGCATGTCCTACTGAAGGGTCTGAACCAAGAGGCCGAATAGAGCCTCAGTTGGGTTCCCAGAATAAAAAAAAATAATCCCTGGTACGGTTCACAGGAAAGGGTCGAAATTCAGACCACATAGGCCTATTACATTATTATATTGTATTATAGGCCTATATATGGATTAGGGCGACTGGCAGTCAAAGTAACTTGATTTGGATAGGCAAATTTTTTTTTTCGTGATCCAGGCTTGTCAGAAGGGGCTACCCCCGACCCCCGCTAGTGGCGCTACCATTGATTAGGTGAGGGATATCTTGTAGAATAAGGAGATTTAAGGTGATTAATTAGAGGCGTTTCTATGGTTACAATAAGTACACGTGAGAAAAAACACCCCCTCATGGTTTTGTTGACAATAACACTCACAGGACACGCATGGCTGCACAGCTTTAGAAGTTAGTACAACAACCGGAACTTCAACCACTTAGGAAGATAGATTCTCACCTATGGCATCAACAAGTTATGTTTTATTGATTGAGTTATCATAATACAAATGGTATAATATAGGCATAGTAGTATGAGAAGGTAAGTGGATTAACAGTTTGCCCATGACTGGATAGACTAGTAGTAGTGCAAGGCAGAGCTCCAGTTTATGAAAGCAGCAAAGATACTCTTTGGAAAGCGGTGAGTGTCACCCGGTGTGTAAGTGGCCTGCATTCCTGTGGACAAATCTTTCTTGGCTACCATAGTACTTGAAGATCTCTAGATACAAGCATTGGCAAGTAGCAGACAGATGGGCCAGAGCCCACACCCACAACCCCACTATGTTTGATTTTCAACAGATTTTGCCGTGGCTCATGGCCCATCCTCTGGTGCCACCCCTGCCCCTGGGTCGGGGTGTACCTCGTTTAATGTATTTTGTATGAGTATCATGTGAGTGAATTGCTCATTCATATTTGACCAAACCCTCAGGAATCTTTGTTTAATTACTTACGAAGTAATAAATAATTAATGTATTTATTTTATGATGAATATTAGTGAGTGACCTATTGACCTGCCAGTCAATCAATGACTGCCAGTAGTATATTGCTTTAGTGTACGACATATTTTTTTATATTTAATTTTGTTGAATTATTTTAGTTTAGAAATAGAACATGCACCCATTTCTCACCTTGACAGGGAGAGGATGAGACTGTTTCCCATTTGGTGATTTGATTTAGACATAAATAATACAGGGCGGATCCAGGATTTTAAAGATGGGGGTTCAAAATATTTTCAAAAAACCCCAAAATGAAAGTGGGGTGGGCTGCCCTTCCCCGGGAAAATTTTGATTCCTAGATGGCTGGAAATGAGCTTTCCCGACTTCTGAGGAGTCTTTTAATGACCTTTAGTTCTTCAAAAGTTTTCCCCCTCTTGGAAAAGGTCATGTAATTTATCTCATTCTTAGGCCTATACAGAGACAAAAAAATCAGAGACATAGGCAATATATTATTATATTCCAATAATATTGAGTAGTTAGATATTTAGTTTTTCTTCCATGGATTAATGAACCGATAGGCCTGAAGAACGCACTTTCCTACATAAATTATTATTCCAACAAAAACAGTGTGTATAATTTATTTAATTGAAGACTTGTTTGGCAAAGCCTTTGTCTGATCTGCCAACATATGCCTAGGCATGCCTTTTGTAAGCCGGGACTGTTACATTTCTTCACAGAGGGGGTTCGTCCGAACCCCTTGAAACCCCCTGGATCCGCCACTGTAATACTACTGGATCCTTTATTAGTTTGCATAGAAAAAAGAAACTTACTTCACTCACAACATGAATTGTGATTGTAATTTTAATTATTATAATGGACACCACCCACTGACATTTCCCATGATATACTGTACTCTAATTAACAAAACTGAAGTCATTCAGTTCTATATATTCTATTCTGAAATGCGATTCTTATGTGCTTACAGTTGAAAGCAATTTGTCTGTGCATAGAAAGCTGCTGAATCATTTTGAGATCTGTTCAAGTGAATCCCGTAGGATTTACATTGATTTCTTTCTGTTCATTTGGTAAATAATTAGAGCAAGTACACATCATGGTATCGTAAAAAAATACCATTGTAATTTCCTTTGCTTTTTTTTTATTTATTTGAAATTTATACCAGTATATATTTACAAAACACTTTATCATTCAGCACTTGAAAGGTTTGATAAAATGGGTGTGCCAAGGGAAAATAGCAATGTCATCTTTATATGAAGTGGTTGTTTGTTTGCTTCTTTTAAGGTCTGACAATGCATGGCTTCATCCCTGCCCCCTCCTACAGCACCAGACCACTATATATTCACAACAATTTCTATAATAAAATATAGACTAAAAGACAGGAGGGATAGTAATGCTAACAGTATATTTCATCATGCTTTTATGTTATATATGAATTATAGTGGAATTTAGCTTAGAGGTTAAATTGCTTGCCTTTCAGTCCTAGGATCTTGGGTTCAATTCCTGTGACACTAATTTTTTTTCTCCTTGTCCTTAAGATTTGATAGTAAAATTTCTAAAATATATATACAACTTTATTTGTCTGCCACTGTTAATTTTGTGTGTTTATTTGCATATGCACTAGTTGCCTAAATGCTCAATGCATAATATTTGAAATTACCAGATGTATTTTTTCGTAGTATGTTGAGGGAAGATTACAGCCTTGTTACTATGGTAATAAATGGTGTTTACAGACATTTTCAATTGGCCTAATCATGCAAACACATTGCATTTGATGCTCTTGTGCTTAAAACGATTCAAACTATGTTGTTATTTATAATTTAATGTGTGTCTTTCAGAATCGAATTCAGCTTCTACATCATACGGTTAAGTGAGCGTTTTTAATGTGGGAATGATTGTTCCTTCTGGACAGTTAGCAGTTCTACAGCAGAGCATTTGTCTTTTGAACATTGAAGTCTTGGGATAATATTTTTAGCTATGGGAAGCTCATCCTCGAAAAATGGCAGTAATGGCAGTAAGTAATAATAATTTTTGTTTATATTCATTATTTTATATTTATTTTTACTATTATTATTTCTAAAAATTCTTAATACAAAGCTTGACATTTAAGGATATAAACTGAAAGTAATGTAATAAAAAAGTAATATATTATAGTTTCTTTACCAAAACAAAATATTAAATAACTGGATTTAATGTATTTGGATATTGCTTAATTATTTGTTTTATTATTCATTTTTTATAAATAGCGCCAGTAGATAGCAGTGATGGTATGTATATCTATATTATTTATTATCTCTAAATTTTCAAATTAAAGTTTAAAGTACATAGTGCATACTATGTTATTGAAATGATGGCTTATGTAATAAAAATTGAGTTGAAGGTGAATTGAAAATTATATTTTGAATGAAATTCTTGTAGATATTAAGTAATTTTTTTGTTTGTTTTTGTTTTGTTTTCTCTTTTTCTTTTGGTTAAAAGCACCTACAAGTAGGAAGTCCAAAGGGAGTCCGACAGGTAAAGGTGGTGTTAGCAAACAGGTGTCCGACACACCTGTGGAAGTTGCAGTATGCAAAGTAGATGATATGAAAGATGGGGAGTAAGTACCACCTGTGATTTCATAATAATATAGACTGATATAGAAATTAGTGTCATGTGACAAGCAATGCTAAAATTAGTATAAAGATAATAATAATAAAGGATCAAGCACATAGAACACAAACTCATCTCCATGGGGATAATTTTATAATATTGCAGTAATCAGCGCATTTTGTGTTTGAACCCCGGGGGACTCACTCTTAAATATTTCTATATGGGGAAGTGCCGCATTTATGGGTATATTTTTCGAGGACTAGATAGCACAAGTGTGGGAAATATGGGTACCAAGATTTTCCGCACGATGTCAGCGGGAATTTCAAGCTAGACCGGGTGCTAAGCCGGTAAGCCCCTTGCTAAGCCTACCTTTGGTACAGCCACAGGATTGTGACCAGACAGAACACTTTTTGCCATCGGGAACCAGTCAATATTGCGCCCTCTCCGGCACTATTGAGTAGCCCTTTTCCTGTTGTCTTCTAGAGCACAGTGCGATTTTGTAAATGGTAGTCCATTTGGTTGGTATGCAAGTGAGCTCCCCGGGGTTTGAACCTACCAAGTACCCATTTGTATTCCTTGGTGGAGGGAGCCAACCACAGGTAAAGTGTCCTGCCTAGGACGTAAGCAAAATGCACAGCAATGATTAAGCCTCTGACCTCAAAGTTGAGAAGCAGAACCTTGACCACTGCGCCAAAATTATTTGTAAGAGCGAAATTGGATCTTATACTGTACTTTAAAATAGAAAAAAACTAGAGAAATATTTTAAATGGTAGATAAGGCCTAATCAATACATTTTTATACATGATACTGTTCATGAAGATTTATTGATTTTTAAGAATCCTAGTTTCATGTATTGTGCATTGCCTTGTTACTGTCTATATTTCAAATATTTTCTTTTCATGAATGCACCGTCACTATGCTATGATGGAAAGGTGTAGTTTTTCAAATACAGTATTATTAACCACACTTTTAACAATAGGATTGCCTTTCCTTAACTCAGTTTCAGAGCTGTTGTTTTTTTAACCATAAATCACCTTTCCTATACAGTACTTTTACATTGGTGACAATGTACGTTTTGCCAACAAAATGTAACATGATCTCTGCTTGTTCTTGGTTGCTGAATCAGTCTATTCGGATATATATTTTATAAAGGGGACATTATGTTTATTATATGTTATAATTTTGGTTATATTCAGTAAAAATGTTTTACTAAAGTGCTTTTAAATGTTTTTACAGGATGCGGGAAGTGGCAGTTGGATCAGGGAAAGCTTTGCTTATCCGTGAACATGGAGAATTCAGCGCCATTGGACATAAATGCTCTCATTATGGTGCTCCGCTAATCAAAGGTAAAATGACCTTATTGTACATTAACGTATTTGATAAAAATGCAGATTGTTGAATTCTGTTTGTGTTAATCGTAGAGAGACCTCGTTTATTTGCAGTGTATAAGTCAACCCTTCATTATGAGAGAATTGTTGCATAAACTGGAGAGTTCTTTGTATTAGACCTGTGCACAAACCTTGTTTTGATTGGATATTTTTTTTTATTAGTATATAGATTATCTTGTAATGGTAATGCTGGTATATCGTATGTGTATAATTGAAGGCAGACTTATAATAATCTATTATAATTTGCATATTATATGCTCATTGAATAAAAACTTTAAAGAGAGAGCAAAATAAATATGATATTGATTATGATTATTATAATATTGTAGACACCTTTGCGGTTATTGTTTTTGCACAATTCCTATCATGAATGCATTAAGTAAACCAAAATTAGTGAATGTATTATTTAGTAAACCAAAATTAGCACTTCAGAGACTAGTTGAGATAAACACAGACTGTTTATTGGCTTATTATCTCTTTCTTGTGATTAATTATTGCATATGATTATACCAATTTCAAAATGTATTTAAAAAAAATATTTATAATACTTTTGATGTTGATTCTATAATATCCTAGGTTGTATTGAAGCTGCACAATATGTTTTCCATATTGCCAGACGACGTAGGCTGGTTTCATCCTTTGGGGGTGGGGGTTGCGAAAATTGATAATGTGGAACTGTGGGGTGGGGATGCGAAAATGAAGAATGTAAAACTACATCCTTATTCCAATGAAAACGTAATGGTCATTTTTAGTATTTCAGCTCACTTAGAACTACACCACCCTCCTCCAGCCTACGCTAATGTGTTATATCTGTTAGAACTCCTCTACTTAACAGAAATAGTCTGACTAAACACCTAGGATTTTTTTTCTCGAGACTCAGACCGAGGCTCTAGTCAACCCCTTTTTTCGAACCCCTCCGCCGGACATGTCGGACCCCTTGTCAGCAAATTTCTGGAGCCATCGCTGGTGACATGCCTAGAAATGGTCATGATGACATCACATCATTACCTTATATAGGCACATCATGACTATATACTGTATGGGCATACAACAGTTTTTTGTCAAATAAACTTTGATAATATGGACAAAGATTTATACACAATTTCATGACAAAACATCTCCTTTAATACTTGATTAAAACAATTTACTAAAGCGAAGATGATGTTCTTGGAGGGTAATGAAGGGCTTCATAAGTAAAATATTTTGGTAAGGGGCATAGAGAGACGTGCTCAAGCAAAGTCTCACATCCCTTCCCTGTATTACATGTGAAACTTATTTGAATTTAATGGGTTTCCAAATTAAACAGAGAATATTTTATCACTTAAATTTGCATTTACACCAAGGAGGTATAAGAATTATTTTTATACCGCTTTGTGTACACTAAGCTATTTTTATAATACGATATTAGATTTAGACTTCATCACTCCTCAGAATCAATAACGCCAGCATGAATATTCATTTTATGTAAATGACGTTTGTGTTTGTTGTCAACAGGTGTCCTTTGTAATGGCCGTGTGCGGTGTCCCTGGCATGGTGCCTGCTTTAACAGCAAGACAGGTGATATTGAAGAATCTCCTGGTCTTGATAGTGTGCCTATGTTTGAGGTCAGAGTTGAAGGGGATGATGTCATTGTGTGCTCCAAGGGGAAGGTATATGTCTGAATGCCCAAGCACAGTAATACAATGCATAACCATGTACTAAAATTTTGTTTCTTATTCAGCAAAACATTTTGTGGCGGAGGAGAAAATAAAAATAATGTGATTGATAGATTTATATTATACAATTAAAGAAGAATTTAGATATCTTATTTTGGGAGATTTCTAAACAGCAGTGTGTGTAATAAAAATAAATATAAAATTGAATGTTTTTCTGAAAATTCCATTACATCAACTATAATAATTATATAAATTTTAGGAATTTGACTCGTATAAAAGAATAAAAAGTATGAGCTGTCAATCACCAGATGAGGACAACAAGATACTAATCATTGGAGGAGGTAAGGTGTCATCTTTTGTTTTGATTATTTTCGCAAAAGTACAAAACATAATTTTTTTCTATTAATACTTTATTCATTTTGAAAAATTTATCAACAAATGATACGACATGCTAATGGTTCTTAATTATGGCTTCATTAGGTGCTGCTGCTATTACCTGCGCAGAGATACTGAGACAGGAAGGGTTCAAAGGTCAGCTAGTGATGGCCACGAAAGAGGGCCATGTACCATATGATAGGCCTAAATTAAGCAAGGTCAGTGACCTATGTACAAAAGTTGGAGATTTTTAATACATGTTTAAGAATATAAACAAATATTTAGTGTCTGTTAGCTGATCTTTTTCGCTATATTACAAAATTATAATTTGTTTTATATTCATTTTATAACAAGTTGCCACTTTTCAAGCACTGTTATTATTTATCCATTTATTTGTATTTTGTTTACGGTGCTACACAGGAAACCTTATTTTAATATTATTTACTATGATTTCCAAGGAACTTTTCGTTGAAGGTCTATGCTTGATAACATCATCTTCCTATTCAAGCACTGTTAATATTATTTATCCATTTGTTTAAGTTGCCACTTGTTCTCCCTAACACCCAATGATTTGTTGTTGAATCTTGCAGGCACTTGATACCACTGCCGACGCCCTTGCTCTGCGGAAGGCAGATTTCTTTAGCGTTTATGACATCGACGTGAAGACCAGTATGGAAGCAGTGTCTGTTGACACAATGCTGAATTCTGTGAAATTCCAAAATGGAGAATCATTAGTTTATGATACACTGGTTGTAGCAACAGGTGGCAAGTAAGTATCATACGTTATCAGGCATATTTATATTTTATATTTAAAAAAAAATACATATTATATTTATATATTATATGTGTTTGTATTGTTTACTTATTATTATTGTATTGTTATTGAAGTTACTAAACATTTTGTGTTCATCAACTTGTTATTTGTATGTAATTTGTATGTGCTTAGATTGCCAACAAGAAGTAAATTGTCATACTTAATCTTAACAATTAATTTATTTTAAATCATTATTATTTAATTTATATGCCATGTATTTCTACAATTTTTACCATTTGAATTATGCTTTGGTATTTAGACCCCGAGTGCTTTCCATACCGGGAGCCGATCTTGAGAACGTATGCTTACTGCGTACTCCAGAGGATGGCAACCATATTGTGAATAATGCTAGAGATAAGAATGTGGTTATTATTGGAGCTTCATTTATAGGTAAACATTTTGAGATAATTGATTCAGGTCAATCAATGACTTTAGTTAGTTAGTCTCGGGCAGATTTTTTTTTCTTCAGATAAATATTATCCTTAGAGGTACCCTGATAACTATATTTGCTGATGTACATGTCACACACACACA